TTAAAATGCGTATCTTTTTATGAAGAATATTATCTTATTTGCTTAATTAAATATTTCACTCAATTTCGTTAAAACATATGCGTGTATATTTTCATACAATTGCACAAAAGTTTCCGTCGTGCATAACGATTAATATTTGAAGATCTGCATATATCTTTTTCGTTGGATAAATTTTTCGATGAATTTATTAATAATATATTACCTTTCCCTAATATGCATATCTTTTGAGATTTTAAATTAATTTGAATAACTTTTTTTCTTTCATATGTGTAACGACCCGATCGATCGTTTTGAGCAATTGCACTTCGTTCGGTAGTTTGAGGTCACGAATAGCTTCATATGATGTATTAAGACTTGCGTGTATCATTGGTTTTGGTTTTTTAGTGGTTCGAGATTGAATTGGAAGAGTGATTCTCATTTTAGAAGCTTAAAGTTGGAAGAGTTGACCAATGTTTGACTTTTGGGTAAACAGACTCGGAATCGGATTTTGATTGTTCCGATAGGTTCGTATGATGATTTTAGACGTGTACCTATATTTGGATTTGATTTCGGAGGTTCCTAGAAGAATTCGATACTATTTGTTGAAAGTTGGCAATTTGAAGAACTTAAGAGTTTCATAAGTTTGACCAAGAGCTGACTTTGATGTTATTGGACTCCAATTGGTATTCTGAGACTTTGGATTGGTCTATCTAGTTGAATTGAACTTGTGTGCAAAGTTTGAAAGTAATCCGAAATGTTTAAGTGTGATTCAGACACTCTTTTGAAAGAATGAAGATTTAACAACTTAAGAAATTCTATTCGGTTTGAGCCTCAATTCTTTGTTGTGATATTTTTCGTGGGTGTTTTGAGGTTTTGGATAAGTTTGGATGATGTATTTATACTTATTGGTATGATTGGATGGGGTCCCGAGGGGATCGCATGTGTTTTGGATCATTAGTTGAGAAATTAGTTAATTAAGAATTTGAAGTTTGACCATGGTCAATGTCGGGTCAAGATGACCTCTTTTCGGTATTTTGATTGTGCTGGCAGGTTCGTAGCGTGTTTTATAATTAAAATTCATATATGCTTTATATCCGAAAAGTTCTAAATGAGTTTTGGGTGCTAAAACGAAAATTTTCTTATTGCTGGTTTTTTTTCCGTATAAGTAATTACGAAAATGCCATTTATATCCTTGAAATTTTCAGATTTCTTTTAAAACTTCAAAACATGATATCTCCCTCATTTTAAATCCAAATTGGGTGATTCAAGAGGCTATCTTGGGTGTAATCTCGCAAGGATCATGTTAGGATTATCAAACATGAGTTTCGGGATAATTTAAGACCTGATTCGAGTTGGGACAGCTGCTATATTATTTTTTCTTGTTTCAAAATTTGGTTACTTTTTCTCACAAGATTTTGGAGCTCGGTTTTGAGCGATTTTGGAGGTAATATTTACTACTTGAATTGGGGTAAGTATTTTTTACTCGAATTTATTAATATTTCATAATTTCAACCTCGATTTTAGTATTTGATTAATGATTTGAATTGGAGAAATTAAAGATTTTAGTAAAAACATTCTAAAATATAAATTGATGGTTTGTGAAGGCCGATTTGAGATCAGAATTGAATAATTTTAGTATGGTTGGACTCGTATCGGAATGAGTGTTAGTAGATTGATTTAGCTTGTTTGAGGTAAGTATCTTGCATAACTTTGTGTGAGGGAATTATCCCATAGGATTTGGGTTGATTGTATTACTTGAATTTTGTGAGTTTTGTCGGGTTCCGAGGTGCAGGCCCCGAGTTGACGTTTTGGGTTGACTTTTTAATTTTAGTTAAAGAGCGAATATTTATTATCCGGAATTATTTTTTTATGGCTTTTATTTATGATAATATATTATTTTGGCTAGATTCGAGCCGCCCGGAAGTGGACTTGTGCAGGANGGGGAACTACCCCTTAGAATTTGGGTTAATTGTATTACTTGAATTTTGTGGAAGACGTGTATACGGGGTGACGAGTGTGTACACGAGCTTATATGTAGTATTTTGACTGGTTTAGACTCTTAGGCTTCTTTCATGCATTTAATTAAAATTGTTATATCATGTTATGTCTTCTATTATTAAGTTTACTCTTACATGCTTTATTTGTCGTTGTTGGCACACATTCTATCTTTTATTGTCAAATTTGCTCTTATATGCCTTAATTGAAGTTGCTACCTCTCTTATTGTCATGTTACCTCTTTTATTGTTGAATTGTTCTTATTTGAAATTATTATTACATGATGTCTCTTCGTTTTAAGTTATTCTCATGCATTTAGGCGTAGCTGCTATTTCATATTATCTTTTTCGTTGTTAGGCTTATGTTATACAATTGAATTGGAAGTTGTCTTTTCGTGGGAATACATTCATTTTGAGTTATTGAAGTTAAAGTTATGAAAGTTATTATCACATTGAGGTTGAAGTTGTTGATTATTAAGTTATCTTTCCTTGTTGAGTAATTGTTATTCATTTTGTTATTATTGAGATTCTTGTTCATATTGTACCGTGGGCTATATATTGTGGTGACTTTGGTATTATTGATTTTGGCAAGTTGTGGCATATGGGCACTTGTGCAAGTTGTTATTGTATTGTGATATTGAAGCGCATGCGGCGGTATAAGGATAGGGGTTAATGTACATGCAGTGGTATAAAGTGGGATTTATGTGCATGTTACTAGTAAGGGAATTACTTGAAGCCACGCGATGACATAAGGGGGCTAGAGTGCGTTTAGCTATTTCGGAAAAAATATATTTTTAAAAATCTAAATGTAAGGCTCACGCGGTGATATAGGAAAGATTGTGATTGTGATTTGTGAAATGTGAATATGAGGTGTGATACCTCAGAGTGATTTTGTTGTACATCCTACATTGGAAAGGCTTGTTGATTTGAACGATTTGTATTTTTCCTTAAACCATCTCACTTGTATTTTGATTGTATTTGGTTATTTGTTGTTATAATTTGTGTGGGAATGATTGTGATTTCTTATGTGAGTCATGTATTCTACGTGATTTATTGCGTTGCTTTAATGTGCGAACATGTGCCTCTGTGTTACTTGGTGAATTGAGTTTCTAGATGAATTTACTTGCATGGTCATTATCTCATACTCTATTGAGTTGTTGGTAACATAACGATTTTAAATAAAAAAGTTATTAACATGCTTTATTTTATGTAACTCTTAAGATAGAACTCGTTATCTCACTCGGTGTTTTGATATTTTAAATGAATATTCCATTTTACTTTAATTGGGTTCTCAAATTAAAACTCTTTACCCTATTTGATGTTTTACTTTACGTGAAAATGTTATCACACCTTGCTTTAACAAATCCTCTATTTAATTCGTTAACTTATCTGATATTTTTCTTAGTTTAAAGATGCTATTTTACTTTACCTCATTGATTTCTAAACTAAACTCATTTGATACTCTATTTTGTATAAATTGTACTTTATTTTACTTATTGTTTTCTAAAATAAACTAATTATCTTACTTGACGCCTTACTTTATTCAAGATTGTTATTATGCCTTATTGTATTTAAATAAACATCTCGAATATTTTATTTGGCATTTGACACGGATACAATATTCATGGTAGCACATGGACTTTGTCGTGCGAAGGTGATTAATAATGTGGGCACCAGGTGCCATGCGTGTAAGATTCGAAATTGTGTCTTATGATTTGTGGTTATGAGGTGTAGTGCTTCACGGTAATTCTTGTTGCAAGTCATGCGTTGGGAACAATTTGATTAATTGGTTGTCATTTGTTTTCCTTGTTTGGATTCACAGGTACTTAAGCGTGTTCTGATTACATTACTGCTTTTCTACATGTTCATTCCTTGTTGCCGTTATGGTTTCTTGCTTCCATTATTAGATTTATACTGATATTCTGCACAGGTTATTATGTCTAATAGGTGTCTTGACTTGTACCTCGTCACTACTCTACCAAGGCTAGTCTTGATAGACCATGGTGTACTCATACTACACTTTTGTACATTTTTGTGCAGATCTAGGTATTGGAGATAACAGACACATGCAGAGTTAGCTTTTTGATCACGAGGATTCAAAGTAGAGATGCTTGGTCGCCGCAGTCCCTTGGAATCCTTTCCTTATATTATTACTGGCAAATCTCTATTCGAATAGTATTGTATTTTGAGTTATGATATGTATTCGGTAGAGTTCAGTACTACCTAGTCTTGGAGATTTGTAGTGATTATCGTCGTGTTGGCATGTATCACCTTTAAACTTCTCATTTATACAAATTTCTTTTCTTAATATCATGTTTAACTGATTTAGCTGTTGTACGTAATCGGCTTACCTAATCTAAGAGATTAGGTGCCATCACGACGTCTATGACACAATTTTGGGTTGTGACAATATGTAATAATAGAAAAGAAAAAATAATAATTTTCATATAGTTTTTGTCTACAATAGCCAAATAATATCTAAACGTCAATTGGTGTTATAAGTGTATAACAATTATTCACTATAAAATTTTAAAAAAATACTAAAATAAATGATGCTATTATAGAGAGTTTTGATTGTAAGCATAAGTGCGAATAAATATTATACTTAATATAATATACTCTAATTGCTTTAATAATTTATTTTCTTTCTTCGTTCATCCTTAGCACTCATGACTCACCTACACAATTTAGCTTGCACCACATAATCTTGCATACTTATAGAAGCATTTCATGATTAAGTTTCTTAATCAAGCATAAATTGAGTTAGTCTTTCGAAAGAAACCCAAATCAAGATACTAAGCCTACTTAACTAAAATAGATTGGTCTTTTTTCCAAAAAATAAATTTAGTTCATAATCAAAGGAAAAATTGGATCACAGTAATCCAAGATAATTATGTCCAAGTTCATCCCCCCAAATCTTTTCCACACCCAAAAGAAGTCCCTACAAATAACAACAAAACTTCCAAGTCATTTTACACTTTACCTTATTTTCTCTATCTTACTTTCACTATCACTCCAACATTATAAAACACAAATCAGTCTAAGAAAATTATTTTTAAATTCCCTAAAGCTCCACCAAACTCTCTCTCCCTCCAAATAAAACCATCTAATTTTTTCAAACCCCCAAAAAGAAAGAAGAGAGCCTAAGGCTTCAATGGCGACTATGGCTTCTCTTTTTCTCAAAACCCCAGGTCCATCTCAATCTTTACCCAAAACCCAGAAAACCCATTTCGTGTTACCCCTCAATTACCCTGTTTCGTATTCGTGGCGTTCCAAGTTCCGTGCCGTACCCGGGGCCCGAATCCGATGCGGGCCGCTGATTGAGCCCGACGGCGGAAAGCTCATGGACCTCGTCGTCGAGGAGCCACAGAGAGATTTGAAGAGGAGACAGGCTTTGTCTCTTCCGCAAATCAAGCTGTCAAAGATTGATATCCAATGGGTTCACGTGCTCAGCGAGGGCTGGGCCAGCCCGTTGAATGGATTCATGAGAGAATCCGAGTTCCTCCAAACTCTTCATTTTAATTCGCTCCGACTCGGTGACGGCGGCTCAGTCGTCAACATGTCGGTGCCGATTGTGTTAGCCATCGATGATTCTCATAAGAATAGGATCGGTGGGTCTTCCAGTGTTGCCCTTGTTGATGACAAGGATAAGCTTATTGCCATTCTTAACGAGTAAGGGCATTTTGGTAACTTTAGTTTTATTATGTGTTACTGTTCTTTTGTGTCCATATAGATGTTAGATGTAGCTAGAAGAACCTTCGCGGTATGTTGGGTCGAACCTTTCAATAGGATTATTTCTCCAAAACTCTGTCTTCTAAATAAGTGTAAAAGAATTTGTAGAGTCAAGGTCATTTATTAGGTAGCGACAGATAAATCTTGTAATAAATAATTGGTAATATGGTAAAAATGCTTTTTGGCGAAAGTTGTAAGATTGAAGGTTTGGAAGGTCGATAGGTTTGACCGAGAGTTTGACTTTGTTGATATCGGGTCCCGATTGTAGTTTCGGGAGTTGGTATAGGTCCGTTGTGTCATTTGGGTTTTGCATTCAAAGTTTGAGGTCATTCCGAGTTGATTTGGCATGGTTCGGCTTGAGTTTTAGAAGTTTAAAAGTTCATTAGTCATTAAGCTTGAATTGATGTGCGATTCATAGTTTTGATGTTGTTTGGTGTTATTTGAGGCCTCAAGTAGATTCGTGTTTTGTTTTGGGACTGGTTGGTGTGATTGGACGGGTCCCAGAAGCCTCGTGTGTGTTTCGGATGTGATTGGATGGGGCAAGCAACTCAATTTGATGTTTTTTTCCTCAATCACAGGGAATAAACATATACCTTTAATAGCCATGGCACTTAATATGTAACAAAAGGTGGAGTCTTTTTGGTTATGTGCTTTGATGAATGAATTATTTTAATTGAACTTGGCACTCATCAAAATTCATTAGTGTGGAATCTTGTTGCATAAGTATTTTTATGTTTGTAGATGGCAGTTAAGATCCACTATAATTCTCACTTTAGTATTTGAAACAAAGATTAAATGTCACAAACATAATAGTAATAGCCAAGGAAAACTGGAACGCTTTGCTTTGTACTATGTTAATAGGCGAATATTTCCGGGTCACTTGGGTTATGTGAGGACCTTCTTGCTACTTTAAAAGCATTCAAAACTGTTTCTGTTGTTAGAACTTCTTGTTTTATACACTCATATGTATAATATACTTTACCTGAAATCTGATGACTCTACAGTTTTTTTTTTTTTTTGGGTTCCTTATGGGTGGTATAGACATCATGTAACGTTTGTTGCTCCCGATCTGTGTCTTTTGTCATCTGGAAAGAATTGTTTCATGTTTGCTCAATCTTTGTGTGCACCATGCTATACTAATGATATTATACATGACCTCCTACTCTGTTCGGTTCACTTTTCTTCGTTTTTTCACTATGAATTTAATAAGGACAGATGTGTTACCCCACGACAGTTTCTTGGATAGGATATTAGGTATCAATATGGTCCTCCTGGTTTATCTAGGGAAAGCGAAACTTATTTGGACAAACATCCCTATCTGAGTTTGAATTTCTTCCTGAGACCTATAATTGTATGCTTTGGAGTGGAGTTTTGTGGTCAAGCATCCACCAATATCCACATCAATGACGCACTCATGCACACGTCAAAGGGATGAGTACTTATGCATGACTACTTGCATGGAAAAAATATGCTTGTACCGTGCAGTTCTACTTGTACTCTTTCGGGTCAACCATTGTTGTAAAAACAATTCTGTACACGAAAAAGAGTATCAACCAGGTTTACGTTCATCTCTCAGAATCTCCACAAAACTAACATCACAGTATGTAATTTATCAGATTATCTCAATTCGAGCGTCGAGATACTAAAAGGAACAATGACCTTTCTGATCATTGAATTAAAGTCAGGAAATTGCTCATAAAGAAAGCTCCCGATGATTGATTTGTGATAGTTTTGGAATAACGATCCCAATATTGAATTTGTACACCCACCCGAGATTTTGGTTGGTCTCCCTTTGTTATTCTACAAATCAACATGTTGATCATTCTTTGGTGGACCTGGTGGTAAAGCTAGGAGGCACCTTTTTTCTTTATTCCATCTTTTTAAAATTTCTCTATATGCCATAATTTTCTTGAATCTTGGTTCTTATTCATTAATGTGCTGTCCGTAATCTGCTAGTGTTCCAAAGCTTTTCCTACTCTATGGCTTACTTAGTGAAAGCTTTGTACATTTTTGAATTGTATCATAGCATTGATGTTCGGAGATTCTCAATTGATTATTTAGCAAATTGATTTACCTCTCCCTTGTCTGTACTAAAAAATTATTGTGCTTATTTACCTGCCTGCAAATGTAAGATGAGCACTTATAATACTCACTTTCTTTATTTGATAATTCTAGTGTTGAGATCTACAAGCATAATAAAGAAGAACGGATAGCCAGAACTTGGGGAACAACTGCCCCAGGTCTACCTTACGCAGATGAAGCAATAACTCATGCTGGAAACTGGCTAATTGGTGGTGATTTGGAAGTTATAGAACCAATCAAGTACGATGATGGTCTTGACAGGTTCCGGCTTTCCCCTGCTGAACTTCGAGATGAGTTTACGAGGCGCAATGCAGATGCAGTGTTTGCTTTTCAACTCAGAAATCCAGTGCATAATGGCCACGCATTATTGATGACAGACACACGTCGTCGACTTCTTGAGATGGGATACAAGAATCCTGTCCTTTTGCTTCATCCTCTGGGAGGTTACACAAAGGCAGATGATGTTCCACTTCAGTGGCGAATGAGGCAACATGAGAAGGTATGTGATCTTGGACATTCAGATGTTTTGTTCTTCAAATGTTTTTTGCTATAAGAGAACGCACTTAACACTCACCTGCATCCATTTTTGTTGAAGTCCTTCCTGAACTAAAATGCGTTATTGCTTAAGTTACTTTTCCATTAAAACTAACCCCAACTAATTTGGGATTGAGGTGTAGTGGTAGTACTTGCCATCGTTCTGATTGATGTAGTATAGTGCTGCTTCTTAACTGTTTCGTACAATGAACACTTCTCAGGTACTTGAAGATGGGGTGCTTGACCCAGAGACTACTGTGGTCTCTATATTTCCATCTCCTATGCACTATGCTGGTCCAACTGAGGTGCAATGGCACGCAAAGGCGCGCATCAATGCAGGAGCTAACTTTTACATTGTGGGCCGGGATCCAGCTGGGATGGGCCATCCATTGGAGAAGAGAGATTTGTATGATGCAGATCACGGAAAGAAGGTACTCAGTATGGCCCCCGGGTTAGAGCGGCTGAATATCTTGCCTTTCAAGGTATGACAACAATGACCCGTAGTGTGAAGTGCTTCATTTCTCATTTAGTTTTTCGAACGCCAATGTGAACCTTCAATTTTTGGACAGGTGGCTGCATATGATAAGACTCAGAATAGAATGGCATTCTTTGATCCCTCTAGGACTCAAGACTTTCTCTTCATATCAGGCACCAAGGTATATTCTCTTCATTGGCTTTCTCTGTTCTACCTACTCCCCCACCCCCCACTCCTCTATACTCCTGGAGAAAAGGGAAGTTCTCCATTTCCAAGCAATAGGAAGAAATAAAGAAGTATTTGGCATCCACTTTTTGGTTAAAGTTTGAGTTGAATATAGTATGCTGTGGAAAAGAAGCTACACAGATCACTAGGATATATGCTGCTTATAAAAAAAAAGTCACTAGCTATGCCTTGTTCAACTAATTTTTTTGGTTTTTCCAGATGCGATCCCTTGCAAAGAATAAAGAGAGCCCTCCAGATGGTTTTATGTGCCCTGGTGGTTGGAAGATCTTGGTGGAATACTATGATAGTTTGACTCCAGCCGGGAACGGCAGAGTTCCTGAACCTGTCCCAGTTTGAAAGTATCATCATTATCAAAGTGTACCCCAATGTGTTTGGGAGAACCTTAAAATGTAATATGGCTCCTGATTTGGTACACATTCCTCTCAAAGGACAACAATAATAATAGCGAGGCACTGGTATTGTGTGGGAAAAGGTGTCTCCATCTTGTAAATTATTAGTGCCAAACATGGCACCTTAACTTTGTCGACACATCTGTTTGCCGTTGTATCATAGGTTGTGCTGTCATGAATATGGATTTCAGGTTTTCTGGTGTTATATCAGAGTATTGGTTCAAGAAAATGAATTATGTAGCAGGCCTGCTTTCAATTCTTTCATTAGAAGGGTCAGCAAATTTAGCTCGACCTTGCCTATTGTCTACTTGTGAAAACCCCTACTAAATTCTACTCTACGCCAATGTTTACCAAGTTAGTTCAGTTGGCTAATCAAGCTGGAGATTAAATTCAAAACTGAAGTCTAACTGGGTTCCTCTATAATGCCATCGAGTTTCGAACTGGGTACAACCGGCACCCTGCCTGATTTCTCACTTTTTAAAGAAGGGTTTGACCGCAATAATGATTTCCATTATAATAATCCTGACGTTGAAAGATTCTTCCTTCACCTATAATTTTCATTTGCCATAAGAGTGGAATGTAAGATCAGTAAACTTGATGTGCACATCATGAGTTTGAATTTTTCCTCTAACTAAATGTTTTTTAATATGCATGTCATGAGTTTGAATCTTGTCTCTAACTATAAGTTTGGCATTTTCGTGGAGAAAGGCAAGGGTAAACTAATTTTGACCTAGCTCTGAATTGCTCGTCAATTGATTCTACGTTAGCCACACAAAAAAAAAAAAGAAAAAAGAAAAAGGAGAGCTTAATGATGCAACTTTTAGGTCACTGCAACTGTCAACTTCTTTGTCCTATTTTCTAAACGTCTCGGATTAGTGAAATTTCAAGATACTTATACAACTCGTTACCTATAATAATGGGCTTCAAACTGATTGGAGTGAGATCACGGGCAGCTTTAGTTAAAGGAAATTTTACATCCATACACCTTATTTATTATAAATCAAAATCATTTTAAAATATTATTTTCTATAACTACCTTTTATATTTTGTCGCAAAATAAGTATTTATTATAAGCCATGAAATACGCTATTTATGTTTTTCCTCTCTCTTAGACAACTGGGCATACCTATTTTTAAGGTGATTGCTGTTACTGTATTCATGAATACATGGCGCGAATACATGTGAATACATGCGCATACATCTGGACTACCCTGGTTTTAGGCGCTTTTTACTGCTGTATTCATGAACACAGCAGCACGAATACATGTGAATACATGCGCGTATAGCTGGACTGCCCTGATTTTAGGCGCTTTTTGCTGTTGTATTCATGAATACATGGCGCGAATACATGTGAATACATGCGCGTACAACTGGACTATCCTGATTTTTAGGCGCTTTTGCTGCTGTATTCATGAATACAACAGCGCGAATACAACGAATACACTACCGTAACAACTGAATAGTAGCTATAAGAAGTAATTATGTATATGGTAGCTATAGGAAGTTAATAACCACTGAACAATAGTGATTTCTGAAAATTTCTCTTAGTTAAACGCCCCCGTCTCTAAGTAAGAAGAATTTGCCAATTGTCGACCAACATATCTTATTTTTATTGATATGGGTAAATGCCGGTTGCTTATCCACTTGGGGATAATGGATTGACCTCTTGTTAGCTTGACAATTTGTAGAGATCATAAAATTATAGCATTGCATAGATCATGAAGCTATGATGCGGGGTTGAGGGCTAAATCACTTTGTGAGAGTGTCACGACCAAATATTCACCAATGATCGTGATGACAGTTAACCTGCTTGCTAGGCAAGCCAAAACTCAAAAACAATATTAGATTCCAATTTTTAAGTCATTAACAGTGTTATGCTATAAATATGAAAGCGAAATATATCTCAAATCAACATCATGAATATATATAAATCAAAGATAGGGTCTAAACACGACCACAACTATCTCACAAACCTTCCTAAGACCCGATGTCATATTGTCACGAGCATCTATCAAGACTAAGAAATCTAAATTGAACAACAACATCTGTCCAGAAAAGAAAATACATAGACAATGACAGATAAATAGGAAAGGGGGACTCCATGTGCTGCAGACTGGATCAAGTAAAGCAACTCACACGAAGTCTCCAAATAAGCTCCTAAACAGTTGGATGTACACCACTAGTACCTGCCTCAGAATCTATACAAAATGTGCAGAAGTATAGTATAAGTATAAAACCATGGTACTTAGTAAGTATAGTCTAACCTCGAAGAAGTAGTGACGAGAGGTTGACACTGACACTTACTAAAAGTCCAATAGCAAGCGAAAATATAATTAGAACATGTGATAAGGCATGATATCATCAATCAAGTCTAAAAGTAGAACCACAACAAATCTAGAATTTGGTCATGCTTTTCAAACATTATCTCAATTCTTTTCATAATCATGATATGAGCTAATCAACGATCATATAGAAGCTACTGCATAAGTCTAGGATGCAAATGTATGCTCATGATCTACTCTCAGTACCTCATAACACAAATCCATATGCCGGACACTGGCCAGGTGTCCAAACCGAGCAGGTGTCAGAGCTCAGAGGGCCCAAAGTAATATGAGTAATCTGTAACACTTCGTAAATTCATATTAGGCGTAGATGTGTTAAATAAGTATTAATGTGATATTTTAAGCATGTGAAGTTCCATCGGAATGAGTATGGGTGGAAATAGTTGTTTTGGAATCAAGACGGAGAGTGGGGTGCATAAGATTCGACAAAATCGACTAAGTTTATGGAATATCTGTCTTCTAGCCTGATTTCGTGAAACTATGTTAGGAATTTGAGAAAATTTAAAACATGAAAGTTTTATCCCTTTTAAATATCTTTCCAATGATATATTGGGGAGCCCGAATGGATCTCTGTGCAAAAGGTTATGCGCATTTTACTAGACAATGCGCATCCTGCGTGCTAAGTTGCGCGCCCAGCTATCCCGTACGTGGCAACGCACTTGTGGCAGTGCCACTTCCCTTGCGGTTGTGCCTTCAGCTACATGGGCGCACACCTAGAGGGCTATTTTAAAAGCCCTACCTCGTTCCCCTCACCCCAAAACACAAAAAAATGCTCTAGAAAGGAAGCTCTCAAAAACCTAACTTCCTCCAAGGTCCCTCCATCATCCAAGGTAAGTTCTAATAATGATTCAAAGTTAATTTCAATTCTCTAACACCTTATTAACATGGGTAAATCCTTCAAATTATTAGATATTCTATTGAGACATCATTCTTGAAAAAAAGAAACCCTAAAACTCGAATTCAAGAGGATTGAACGTTAAAAAGGTAATATCTTCACCCTTTAATTGATTATATCATTAGATTAATGATTATAGACTCTAAGTTCATGAGATATGAGTTGATGAGTTTGATAGAAAAGCATGGACGATTATAGGTTTGGGTTGTTGATTGTTGATTGTTGATTATTGATTAAGAGTGTTGTTTATCTTATAGGTGATGAAGAATGATATTGATTATAACAGTTTGAGATTTTAGAATTATCTAGGAGCAAGGGAATGGGTTGTTGGATGTACAAATACCATTAATAAGGGCTATGAAGCTTTATGTCACCAAGTGTTTGAGAAAATGCCTAAGTGACTAAAACATGAGCATTAATGCTAATATTGGTTTCTCTTGATATATATTGCCATAAATTATCATTGAAAGAGGCAACAAATATTGTGATATGATTAAAAAGGCCAAAGTCAAGGTATGTGAGGCTAACTCTCTATGTTTGGGAATGTTAATGACTCTCCCTACACTACATTTCTTTTACAACATTACTGATTACCTCAGAAATACAGTTAAGTTTAGTTCCTTGAATAGTTGCAGAACTTCCATTCTCTAGCTTCGTAATTAGTTCATGACTTTCATTCTAAATATTGTGAGCTCAGTACGTAATCAATATAGACCTATGTTTGATGCCCATGAGTCTCAGTCTAGATTACTCAGCATGTCATAAAAAGTTGAAGCCTCAGTTATGAAAATTCAGTTTATTATGAATACATATCTCAGTGTAGTCCTATTCAGTATTCCCGTATCATGTATCTTAGTATGATTTAGTATTTTAGCATCATGTATTGTAGTATGATTCTCAGTTCCTGATTTTAAATCCCTGAGTATTGAACACCTGTATTTGGGCTTGAGGCCGCAGTTTATGCTTTATGCATTTTTAAGCCTGAGGCAACAGTTTATGCTTTATGCATCTTTGGGCATGAGGCTGCAGTTATGTATACGTATACTTGGGCCCGAGACCGCAGTTTGTGCACATATATATTGGGCCCGAGACTGCAGTTTATTACTCAGATAGACAGGTGGTTCATCATTTAGAAGAGGGAGTATTCATATCTTCACTTCCTTATTCAGTTCAGTTAAAAGTTATCAGTTATAAGTTATCAATTCTCACTTATGAGTTATCAGTTCAGTTTCAGTTTCAGTATTTATAGTTCTTTCTTTTAGTTGCTTTACATACCAGTGCAATTCAAATGTATCGACGTCCCTTTCGCCCAAGGTCTGCATATTACGATGCGAGTAAAGATTTATAGGTTGATGATTCAGAGCGCTAGTGTCACGACCAAAATTTCCCTCCGTAGGATATCGTGATGGAACCTAGTCTTAGGGACTAGGTAAGCCTAATATTTACTGGAATAATAACCATTCTTAACTAATGATTGACAAATACGAAATAGAAATCTATGTACAAAACTTACAATCCCAAAATCGATAGTACAAGTCATAAGCTCTAGTTAGTTTACTAGAAAATAAAACCTCTAGATACAACTATTTCAAAATAAATATAAAACAGTGCAAGTACAATATCCGAAGGTGACTCCAAAGCCTGCGGACGCAGCAACAGGTTTATCTTGAGTCTCCACAGCAAGATCCGTACAACTACTAGCAGTCGACCCACTCTGAAATACCTGGATCTGCATAAAATGTTCAGAAGTGTAGTATGAGTACACCACAACGGTATCGAGTAAGTGTCAAGACTAACCTCGGCGGAATAGTGACGGGGGATAGTCAAGACACCTACTGGAATAAATAATCTGGACAAGTATAGGTGAAGAAATATCAGGGTACCATATCTCTATAAAGCTAGGCATGATAACAACAATAATACGATGCTTACAAGAGTAACTAGAAGCAACAATTAGCAACAAGACACAACAAGTAATAACACTGTAGAGTAAGCTGGACACAGTT